GCATGATGAGAAAAACGTTAAAGTATGGATGCGCTTAGGCAAAATAATAGCATGATCAGAAAAACGTTAAAATCCGAAATTTTCGGACACACGGGTGTCTTTTTTAAACGAAAGATTTCGTTGACAAAGGACAAAAGCGTGTCCAAAATTTCTGATTTTTAACGTTTTTCTCATCATTCTTCTACAAGGTAACCAAGAAAGTTCTTGCCGTTTTTTGTTTTTTTTTATTTATTAAAAATAAAATGTATGCAACAACTTTGACATATCGTTCGTCCTCAAAGTAATCACCATCGGCATCCAGATCCTTTTGCTAAAGCGCCTCCTGCTGTGCTATGCCCTGGCGATAAACATCCGGCGTCTGGGACGCAGAGATATCAGTAAGTACCTACCACAGGTCTGCTTCATTTGCGAAGGATTTCCCCCGAAGGTTGTTGCCCAAAGAATGGAAGAGATGGTAATCTGTTGGCGGTAGTTCCGGAGAGTAAGGTGAATGGTACAGTGTCTTCCAGCCAAGTTGGTTTATGGTATCACTGGCCACCCGTACAACATGAGGTCTGGCATTGTCATAAAGGAACAGAAGTGCCGATTACACACGTTCCAACTGTTGCGAATGCAGAGCTGCAATGATAGTTTAGTTCGTTGGTAGCAGCACATAGTGCACCACTTGTAGTCTAGTCAACCATATAAAGAGCATGGTCTTCCGTTAGTGTAGAGGCGGTATTGTGAAGTGGGACACAGGGTTCTGTGGTGACAACTAATATCTGGCACACTTACGAGTGTCATACAGGACCTACTCTTCGTCACTGGTGAGCACTCGATTAAATATGGATTCGTTGCAGGACCGAGAAAGCAACGAGAAACAGGCTGTCACTCGTTGTTGCTTGCTGGCTTCCGACAGTGTGTGGAGTACCCACTTGCTCAATGTGTATGCTCTCCCTATACGGGGGTGAAGTTGAAGCTAGGGTGTTTCCTCAGAAACCTGGAAGCGTTCGACAAGTTTGGTTGTTATTTTCCTCTATGGCCGCCTTCAGGGCCTCATCATCCAGGACCTGTGACTGGCCATTGTGGGGTTCATCACAAAGGGACAGATCTCCCGACCTGAACTACTGGAATTAATGCATGGCGGTGCGTTCACTCACAACATTATCCTGAAATGCTTGATGTATTCGACGACAAGCCCAACTTAAAAGCATAAAGCAGACTACCACGAACGATCAGCTTCGTCACCGCCATGTTTCCTCGCCGTTACTCGGACTATGACTGAGGTGTGTGCGCAACACACTTACATTGGTTAAGAGTACCCCCAACCCTTTCCAGACACGGGACGCACTCATGTGCATATCAGTGATCACTTCTTGCCACACGACCTTAAAAACGGCAAGGCGTTTTTTGGTTAACTTATATTTTGTCCATTGGCGTAATAAATATTATTATTATTGTCTTTTTTCGAATTTCTTTCATCGGCCTACCATACCTACACACACACACACACACACACACACACACACACACACACACACATATATATATATATACTATTTACTATATATATATATATATATATATATATATACTATTTACATTGTTCCGACTATCGTCCTCATCTTTGTTGCCATATTTATAGTCCAAACAATGTAAGTAGTGTACATAATGCCTCATCTCAGAAATATAGACAGATATATATATGTGTGTTTGTGCGTGTGTGCACGCGTGCGTGCGTGTGCCATTTTAAGCTAGATAGATATAAATGCTGCATACATTGCTATCTACACTCATAATTACACATGAAAGCCGGAAAAAAACACTTGTATTTACTTCAAACAATAGCAAGTTAATGTTTTTATTGAAAAATGTTTAATTTAAAAATCAATTTAAATCATTTAAAAAAAATTCAATGTCCTTTTAATGAATTATTTATTTTTACATAAATTTTAATAAATTAAGATTTACTTAACATTTAAAAAAAATATATTTTTAATAAATACTTACGTTGGAATCCTAAACATTTTAAAATGCATTTTACTTCGAAGAAATACACTCAACTGATCAAAGTGTGTGTGTGTGTGTGTGTGTGCACGCGCGTTTGATTTTTACACGGTAAGTAGATAGATAGATAGATAGATAGATAGATAGATAGATAGATAGATAGATAGAAGTGCATATGCTGAGATGTGCAATCATGATGCATTGAAATCTGGAAAAGCTTATTATTGCAATTAGCTACAAACAATAACAGTTTAACAATTTGCAATTCAAAGAATGGTTGAAGTTGCAATGATGAACCTTGAGCTAGGCCGGATTATGACCATTTTGGGACCCTATGTTATTAAAATTATGGGGTTCCCTTCATACGAAGTCACCCTCTAACTCGCCCGCACCCAACTTGAATATTTTTTACTCGTGATATATTTTAGTGACATTTAGATTGCTTGAAGTCAACTTATTGCAAATTCTTTAATAAATTAGAATAGCTGTCATTTGTTTGTTAATAAAAATATTC